TTGACTTCCATGGTGGTTGTCTTATTTATTATAGGACTTAGTGGAACCTATTGCTTAGAGTGGGATACCCCTCCCAGAACAAGCTGGGAAAATCTCCAGGATGCCAGCCAGGGCACTGAGGAGAGTTTCCAGGGATTTCAGGCCACTGCCACTCCCTCCCTTCCTGGAAAAGAATGCAAAGTGCAGCTTCCATCCCCAGATCCAGGCCGTATGCTCCATTAAGCATTGCAGGCGCCTTGCCCAGTTGTTGTTTTAATAAAGCTGGTTGTGCCCCTCAGTTTCCCTCAGAGGGCCCACGGGGCAGGCGGCACTGGTAGGACCTTGCGTTTCCCTCTGCTGGACCCACGAGCTGTCTGATGGAGGTTCTGCCCGTAGTGTTAGTGCTGGCTGAGGAAGCCTGGCTTTCTTGCCATTGTAATGGGTGTTGTAACTCCTGGTCTCTGCAGATCAGGCCAACAACAGCAGAGTAGAGTTGATGTGGATTTTGAGGGTGTTATGGGGAGATGACATTGCAGGAAGGAATAACTGATTTAAAGCTATTGCTTTTCTCTTAAAGGCAAGGGGCATGGCGGGACAGAAAGAAAGGAAAAAGAAGTAGTATTTGCCCTAAGAATCTATCTTCACATTTTTAATATATCACTGTTCAAACTGGTAATTTCTGTGTGTGTGCTTCATTGAATTTATTTCCACTGTATTTGAGTAGAATTTAGATAATTTAGAAACAAAGAACTTTAATAAATCATTAAGCCTTGGGTGGAAGCTCAGGGGTTTGTTCACCTTCTAATTTCCCATCTTCAGATTCCTGTGAAATTTTTCTTTTTGAGCTGTTTAGTTTATGCCACAGTGTTCTTAATCTTGACTTCATCTGGGAAAATCTTACTAGGAAGATTTACTTTTGGAAGACCAGGATAACCTTCACATGCATCTGAAGGAAACAGCGCCTCCCCTCCCCTTTGTTGCCTCGCCCATGCATCACTAGGAGAAATAACAGTATTGGAAAAAAAAAATTGCTGCTGTCTGTGACCACTATACCCACAGAAAAGGAGTGGGAGAGAAAATACCTAGCCATGGACCAGTCATTCCACCCCCTGCCTGGTGCTGCCTGTTCTAGGAGCCAACTTTCCCCCTTGAGTCTTCGGGAGATGCTTAATTTTAATTGACTCAGAGGAGTTCTACTTTGTGTCTGAAAACCACACAGAAATGGGAAGTAAGAGAGTTCCACTGCCCTCCCACCCTGCCCGTCCAACCACATACACATACATACACACAAACAAATCCGAGGTACTCAACAGCCTTCAGATGGAATCTTGGGCTGGTACCAGAGTCTAGGCTTGTAACAGGCTTTGTATTTCCAGCAGGCTTCTCAGAAATTAGGTGACCCCTGCTCACACTGAATGGAACTGTGTTGTAAACTTTAACCTATGAGCAACCCAGAGGGGATGTACCTCTAAATTGGATTTTTCCCTTTTCATAAATGGTTTCCAAGCAATTAAAAATAGTCACACTAGTGGAGAGGACAGAGTATGCAGGTGCAGATTTCTTTGCTCTGAAATGCTTCTGCTTTTGTGCGGGGATGCTAAGTGTTTCTCCCCATTCCCAGCAGCTTCCCTGTCACTGGGTTCCATTTTTCATTTGCTGCTCTCCACGTCTTTGTATTTCACAGCCCATGGAATCTTGGCTTCAGAGAAATAAATGGACCCAAGAGAGAGTTATATTTTAAGAAACAGAATGATGATCGCTCACATTTTAAGTTAATAATAAAATCCAAGTGTAATTGGCCAGATCTTCCCAGCAGGGAGTGTGTGTAACCCGTCATCTGGGCAACGTGAGAATTTGGCACTTAGGTGGCACAGGAGAGGCCACCCGCATACAGCCGGGGGGACCTACTTAGGAGCCTGTGGCTAAGAGGAGATTAAACACTGAGTAAGTTCTGTGAGCAGAGAGGACAGACAACGGCTGTGAACGGGGGAGTAGAATTGAAGAGTTGTTTGTAGAGTTATGTGAATTGGGGAACAGCTGAGGGTATATCTGTCCCGCCTTGTAAACGTGCCCTTTCAAGCTTACACCTCCCCAGCTACAAGATTCTGAAATCCTTACTGATCCCATTTTTTAACCTCTGAGTTACTCCCCGATCGATTTCTATTCGCTTTCTGTCTCCTTTCCTTCTCAAACTGCTGTCATCAAGGTTACTGATGACTTTCTTGTTGAAAAGACGAAACAGAACAATAGAAGCTGTTCAGTTTTATTTAACCTTTTTTTTTAAAACCTTCATTTGACATGTTTTAATTTTTGTGACACTGCTCTCTTTATTTTATCTTCTTCCTCTCATCTTTACTTCTCAGTTTAAGAAGTTCTGCTGTTCTGTTCCACAGGCATCTTTCCTTCTCCTCTCATACTCTGCCTACTCTCTCGGGAATATGAAGCATATTCAAGGGGAACATCAAGCATTTTCATGGGGGATATCAAGCATTTTCATAGGGAATATCAAACATATTCATGGGGGAATACCAAGCGTTTTCACAGGGAATATCAAGCATTCATATGTCAACAATTATTAACTCTGTATTATTAGTTCATTTATCTTAACTTCACACCCCATGCATCCTGCTTGCTTTTGAATGTTTCTTTCTGCGTGGAATGCTCTAAAACTAACCTAAATTCACCATACCCATTTATTTGCTCAAGTTTTTTCTCCTCCTGTCCATCTGTTTTTGGTAAATGACATCATGGTGTCCTGATGCCAGAAAACTTGCTATCTTCTTTGTTAATAGCTTCCTGATTGATCTCCCTGTTTCCAACACTGGTCTCTTCAAGCAACAGACAGATTTGATTCTAAAGAATAATTCAGATTATATCAATCCTTGCTTAAAAGCGTTCAATGGCTTTCCATCACAAGTAGAATAAAATTCCAGCTTCCTTCCATGCCCTGCCTGATCTGGTCTTTGCCTTTCTCTGTATTCCTCCTCTCATCACCAGCCCCTCTGTTCAATCTATTCCAATGACTTGGGCCATCTTTTCACCCCTTGCTCACCTCAGGGCCTTTTGCTGTTTTGTTGCTTGGGATGTTCTGACTCTAGATCTTTGCATAACTGGATCCTTTTTTTGGGGGGCTGGTTCAAATGTAACCTTCACAGACAGGTCTCTGCTAATTATCCTAATGAATTCAGCACTCTTTCTAGCCACCTTCATTGGTATTTTGTATTGGAATTTTCACTATCTGAAATGATCTTGTTTCTATTTTCATTGTCATCCTAGAATGTCAGCTCTATGGGAGCACAGGCTTGGCTTTGTTTATCACTATATCTTTGTTACCTTGAAGAGGGCCTGGAACATAGTGGGTGACCAATAAATGCTTTTTAAATGAAAAAAAGAAAAAAAAAGGATGATATCCTTAGATCTTGAGTTCAGCCAGACTGCTTACAGTTCCCTGAACTACACACGCCTGCACATTCTGCCTCCTCTGCGTATGACGCTTTCCTCTTTCTCAGTTCAAATTCTGCTTATCCTTCAGTACTTGACTTTGTCACCTCCTCCAGGAAGCTCTCTTTGATCTTATGAGTTCCTGGTTAACACCTCCATTAGATTCTATAACACCCTGTGCATATCCTGATATCAGTAGCACATATGCAATTAGTATGAAATTGTTAATGTATCTTGTCTCCCCCCATTAATTAACTTCTGGTAGGGATAGTGTTTTATTTGTATCCTGAGCTTACTGGGAATCTATAAAAACCTACCTAATTATTTTGTTGAATTATTTGTTAAATGATAGAATCCTTTGGTAATATAAATAAGCTTTCCCTCAGGTTCTTACCCTTGCCAAGTTTTGATTTTTAGACACCGAAGTTTTCAGAATGTACATAAACTTACTTATGGAAAAGGTTCATATCCCTGCTAGAGTTTTCTGAAATAAAAATAACATTAAACACTATATTACACTTTATTGTCTATTATGTTCTGTGAATCTGACATAGATTCTTATTCACAAATAACTTTTCAAGGTGTATATAGTATTATTCTCATTTTACATGAGAAGAAACAGACTCAGATGTAGTAATCTGTTCAAGCGCATACAGCTAGCAAAACAAAGCTGGAATTTGAATCCAGCTCTTTGATTTCTAAGGCCAGGCTCTTTCTGCTACACCATGCTGCCCCCTATGGGACAAGTTCACATTTTAGAATGGTTTATTAAAAATATCAATTATTATCATTGTAGAAAATATAAAATTAGCTCTTATAAGATATGAAATAAAGATGCCTTGAATACCATTTTTTTAATTGATTAGAAAAATGGCATTTGTTGCAACATGTTCTAGTCAAGAGCATTCATTATACTGCCTTTGACTAGTATGTTTTCTCTCTGTTGATAAGTATAAAAGGGTTTTGCAGAAGTTTGTGTTAACTATGTTTTTTTCAGTTAGTATTTGCCATGTAAAGTTGAATTTAATTCCCAAGAGTGGAGGTGGCTTGCTAGGCATCTCCTCTGGCTTGTCTGTAAGTTGTCTCCAGATTGTTGTATCCATGATGAGACCAACCTATTAATTTGGCCTCAGGCTGAGGATTCTAGTTTACGCAAGGTTTCTTGCTTTCCCATCTTCACCCCAGGACATGGGTGTATTGTTGCTGGGAAGTTTGCCTGGAACTCTTAGCCAGGCTAGGACCTACTTCCTGCCTCATTCCTGTCAGTCCCTATTTCCTGGAGACTGGGCCTGTTTTCTTTACTCCCTGGTTTTGGTCAAATTGCTTTAGTACATTGGAAGCTTGAACTAGAACTGCAGTGAATCTTCTCCACTCCTAACTGGATGTGATCTCAGGTCATTGCCCGAGCTTCCTACCCTCCCCTGTTCTAATCCTGTTTCTTCTATGCTTCTAGACTCTTCCTGCTGAGCTTTGTTTTCTACTGCTTGTTGAGTCTAATGACTCAGCACAAACCTCATCAGTAGGGATTAGGACCAAGAATCTGGTGACTGAAACACAGAATTTTGGATCTTATTGCTTACCACTCACTGCTTTTCTTCTTTGCATCTCTGGGGATGGTGATGGTGATGGAAGACAGTCTATATGTGATGATGTAGAATTGATCTTCTTTAGGTTCTGCTCATTGAAAGGATCTATCAGCTTAGTTATGGATAAGCCAGAAACTGGTTGCTTGTATCTTGCATAATGTAGAGCATCCATGATCCACCTCATTTCTCGCCAAACTTCATCTATTTGCTTTGGAATAAAATGGGAAAAGACATTGAATTAGCTTCCCAGGTGATGCTAGTGGTGAAGAACCTGCCTGCCAATGCGGGAGACAGCAAGAGATGCAGAATCAATCCTTGGGTCAGGAAGATCCCCTGGAGTAGGGCATGGTAATCCACTTCGATAATCTTGCCTGGAGAAGCTCCATGGACAGGGAAGCCTGGCAGGCTACAGCCCGTGGAGTCGCAAAGAGTCGGACATGACTGAAGCAACTTAGCATACATGCATGCATTGAATTAGTGAACAGGTTTCAAAAGGTATTACGTTTCCCTGAAGGTCCAACATGATACATTTTCTATAGTATTTGGTTTTGAGCATGGGTAAAATATTTTCAACATAGATTTACTAAACCAGAAAATACCTCGTTTTTATAACCTTTTGTGTCTTGCGTGTTTTTTACCCAAGAGGCTATTTCAGTTAATGCAAATAGTGAAAGACTTGGATTCCAGCTGGGATCTGCAACTTACTGGTTCTATAACAACCTTTGGCAAATCACTTGACCCCTTTGAGCTTTAGTTGCCTTATTTGTGAAATGTGGACAAAATATTTCTTTTATACGCCACAGGACTGCTGTGATGATTGGTGAAATGATAAATTTGAAGGTGCTTTGTAAAACTGCAGGGTACATTTCTCACATGTGTAAAGTGTTATTAATTCTCAGCATGTAATGAAATATTCCTCATTAGGATTTATGGGGAAGGCATATGATAAAGTCTGAATTTCAGAACAGGTGGAGAAAGAAATGTAGTTTTAGTCCTGTGTGAACTAGTAAAGCATTACTGGAATAAACAGCTTTGCATCTAATTTCACTGGGTGCCTTGAGCAGGCTATTAGCTTCTGACCCATTTACCCCGCTGTGAAAAGACGAGGCTGGGTTGGATGACGTCGAAGGTTCCTTCCAGCTCTGACACTTTATGATTTATTTTTGAAGACCCCTGAGAAAGTTGGTGTCACTCAATTTCCAGCTGGAAGGTGTTTATTGTATGAATACTACATGGTTCGGGTGTCTCTGATTGTAGAAGGGACTACCTAATGTTCTGTTTTATTTTCAAATTTCAATTTTTAGAGTCTTAATCTGCGCTTAAAGAATACTCTTTAAAGGATATCCAAAAACCAGATGCTCCCAGGAAACACAGAGTAGCTTCTGAAACTGTGAGAATTCTGAGTGACAGGCAAGTCTGAGTGAACTAGTGAATGGAGCTGCTTGGTTGGTTGCCAGCCCCCCTTACTTTCTGGTACTCTTCTATCCTGGAGTGACAGAACTGGGCAGAGTTTTTAGTGTTGTTAATGAAAGCATGAAATTAAGCTGCAGGCTTTGTCAGCCAGTGAGTTGGGCTGAAGGTTCAACAGTGGCAGGCCCACTGAACAGTATATAGGGAAAAATCTGAAGTTCAAGGGGTAAATAAAGTGGAAGTTCCATTTAATGCTTGGACACATTTTCTTAATGAGATTTGCTTTCTCAGCTCGCTTTTATTGATCCCACCTCATGCAGCATACTCTCAGCTCAAAGCGAGGCACTGCATGACTGTGGACAGCTTTTAGAGGTCCTGCCAAGGCAGGCACTGTGCTTTTGTACCTGTTACTCTTGGCTGTGCAAAGAATAGGTACTCAGTAAATGATTGTTCAGCCAGGGAAGGTATGAGGGAATGGTTATCTAATACTTTAGATCTCTGCCCTTGAACAGAAATATTGCGAGGATTAAGATGATGTATCGTGAGTGCACCTTGTAAGCTGTTCATTCTTATAAAATTTTCAGTTGTTAGCAATGACAATCACAGTTATTGTAGTGGACCGGATGTGACCTCCTGAAATACATGTCCACATCCTAATCCCTGGAACCTGTATTACTTTATATGATAAAAGAGTGAATGTTACCTTTAATGGCAAAAGATGTGATTGGTAAGGATTTTGATGGGAGGATTTTATCCTAGCTTATCTAGGTGGGCCTTGATTCCAGTGATGAATGTCTGCATGAAGACATTCTTCTGAGAGTGAGGCAGATGGACATGTGGCCGGCAGAAGAGACGGAGGCCGTGTGGCCACAGGAGCAAAGAGTGAATTGAGGCAGCCCCAAGTCAAGGAATGCCAATGACCACCAGGAGCTGGAGGAAGCCAACGATAGATTCTCCCCCTCTCCAGAGGGAGTGTGGCTCTGCCGACACCTTGACTTTAGATTTCTGGCCTTTAGAACTGTGAGAGAATAAATTCCTGGTGTTGAAGCCACTCAGTTTGTGGCAATTTCTTGCAGCAGCCTTAAGAAATGAATACAATTATTAATAACTTGTTCTCCACTTGTTCTCTTTGGATAGGTTGTTTTAGCCTTACTGCTGAGGATGGATAGTGAGATTTAGCATAAAAATTTTAAAACTTGTATGTAGAGACAATGTTTATTTCTTAATTTTTCTCAGTGATGAAGTGAAGAGGTGTTGGCTGAAGAGAAATCAGAAACATGGGTAGAGGGAAACCTGTGGACCAAGTTTGACAGACTTAGTTAAGTAGCTCTAAAAGAAGCACAATTTTCACTCATTTTACCTTATACTGTTGACCTAAAAATAACTGACAACATAATCCCCTTGATTTTAAGGTCCAAATGCAGCTTCTAAAGACTTGCTGACATGTTTTAAAAAAGAAAGACTGTGAACTCAACTAGGTCTGTTGCTTAAAAGTTTTGCATCCATTTCTCACTTTGCCCTTTAAAAATCTTGGTTTTCATCCCATAAATTACACTCCTTTCTCTGTACTCAGGCAAGATAATATTTTTATTAAAATGTAAAGGTGATTGGTTTTCTCACAGCATAGTTACAAGGTGCTTGAGGGAATGATAGATTGGCTATATTTAATGAGCTGTGTTTCTATTACAGCTTAGGAGCATTTGAAGCATTCCAGTATATAAATTATAGCCTAATTGCCCTTTCGGCTTTAGCAGCTCCAAATATGCCCAGTGCCAAGTCTGCGCACTCCGACATTTCTGCCGCATGCGTTGTCTGTAAAGGCAGTGTACCTTATCTGCGATTTTCTACACCTCCCCCGGCCTAGCCCTTCCTCTCTGGCTGCACTCCTTGGCTTCTTTTCCCAACTGTATTTACACAGACTCCCTTGCTCTTTACAATGTTTGGTTTGTGTAGTGCCTTCAACACTGTCTTAGATCTGCAGTCACACAAATGCCCCCGCAGCTGGCACTTGCCTTGCCGATCATGGTGTGTGGTGGACTGGGCGGTGAATGCCAGTGGGTGAATGGCTGCAGCTGGTTTTCATTCTGAGCAGGAGAGACCGAGAAGCCCCGTCTCGTTAAGGAGAGAGATGATCCTGCATTAACTCTAGCCAGTGAAATTATCCCTGTTGGATGGAGCAAGGCAGTCCATTGAAGGCTATGGGTGCAAGGAGATGGTCTGGTTTTAGCCTGGCCAAGGGGTGCTTTCTTGAACTCTTGGGGAACTGGCTTTTATTCAAGTCTCTGTTTACCTGGCTGGCTAGCTGGAGAGTACGTAGAGGGGGCTCTCAAGTTACCTGCTTTAGGAAACCAGAGCAGGCTAGAACTTTAAAGAATTTCTGGCCTCGCTTGCCTTCATCCATCCCACTTAATGGTGTGCTGAAAAGGAAGGAGAAGAAGGGAGTGGAGCCGTAGGCTAGGTGAGAAAGAAAGGGGTGAGGACTGTCTTCTGGAGGTACGAACGGAACCGGGGACTCTTGGAGTATGTCTCAGGCTAAAGAAAGTCAGAGTTCTTGGTTGACCATAATGGATTTAGGGGAGCCTTAGTTGGAATAAAGTGGAAATAGAACCTAAGGTAAAGTTAGAGAAGTGCTTCTATAAAACTATTTATGGCTGTTAAAGAAGTCATGAAATGTTACAGCCAACTAGGTGCTTAAGAAATCATCCAGTCCAGTTCTTACAATTGAGGCCCTTGGATCAAATGAATTGTCCAATAATCCAAGGCTTATCAGTGGAAGATTCCGGACTAAAAATGTATGCTAACTGAATTCTGGTCATTCTTCTTCTTACTATTCCTTACATTGCATACAAAAGATATGCCAATCTTTCATATTCTCCTCCTGCTGCTTTCTTCTTTTTCCCACCCCCTTCCCCTATCCATATTTCATTTTTACTAGAAATAAAATAAATGATGTAAATGTTTTTAATTTTTAAATACTATGCTTTCAGGTCAAGAAAGCAAGTAAGTTCTTGAAAGGTTTATTTTTGTAGTCTAAGAGGTCACCTAAAATATCTCATTTAGGATGAGAGAAGTAGGATAGGATTTGTCTGGCTCACACTTTGCAAGCATATTACAATATCTTCTTCATGAGTACTTAATAAATCCCCAATCTTGCATATCATGTTTTAAAATATTTTCCCTTCTTATTAATAAATGAATGTATAATTTATTGCATACTTATTATGTGCAGGCATTTCAGTGAAATTGTTATATGTATTATCATCTTGAATTCTCTCAGTGACACTGAAAGCTAGCCCTATTATTATCATCCCTATTTTACAGATGAGGAGATTGAGATTTAGAGAACTTTATTTGCCCAAAGTTCACTGCATTTTCTCATCTTAGGTCCTCATTACTTGCTTGGAGGATTGTGTAATAGCTTTGTATCTGGTTTTCCTGCCTTTAGTTTTCTCCTTAAGTCTGGGAATGACATGCAAATTATTTAGTAGCCAATGAGAATGAGTGCTTACTCTGAACAACCGCTGTGGCCACACCAATGTGAATGGGAGGAACACCCTCCGCTGCTTGAATCTGTCCTCAACATCTGTGAGATCCTATTACTGACTTTCTCCAATACTTTGGCTGGGTAACTGTGGCCTACAGCATCAAGTACAAGTTTCTTACTATGGTCTTTAATAAAGCCCCATGTGGTCTGATTTCATTGCTACTTTCATTTTTACCTAATTTTCACTATTGTCCTTTACTCAGTTTATGCCCAAACTAATCTTGATTATACATCTTTCCCCAGGTACGATTTTTCTGCTCTTTCTCCCTTATCTGTTTATACTTTTTCTTTGGCAGTTTCTCATTCTGTTTCTCCTCCCTATAGACTAACCTATTCCACTAGGCCTGGCTCAGATATCAGTTACATCCTCTAAGGCATTTTTTTTATGCCCACAAATGTAAGTAAATTTTTACTTCTTTGTGTTGACACAAAACATTTTTACTTTATTTTTTACATTTCTCTCTTGGTACCTTGGAGAAGGAAATGGCAACCCACTCCAGTATTCTTGCCTGGAGAATCCCATGGACTGGGGAGCCTCGTGGGCTATACAGTTCATGGGGTCACAAAGGGTAGGACGTGACTGAGTGACTAGGCAACAAATTTGGCACCTAAATAATTTTTACAGATAGTATTTATACACGTTTCTTGTCTACCCTAATGGATTTTAAACGAAGCCCAAGGACCTTGTGTAATTCAACTTTGTATCACCCTTACAGTGCCTGACACTTGTGTCCAACAAATATTATATTTATCAGATTGAACTGAATATATGTCATGGTGATACTCATGATGGGGCTATTGCTATTATAGAAGTCCTCTCTTATTCATGGTTTGCTTTCTGCAGTTTCAATAACCATTGGTCAACTGAGGTCTGAAAATATTAAATGGAAAGTTCCAGAAGTAAACAGTTCATAAGTTTTAAATTGCCACTGTTCTGAATAGTGGGATCAAATCTCCTGTCACCCTGCCCAGCCTGCCCAGGACGTGAGTCATCCCTCTGTCCAGCGTATCTTACCCTTTAGTCATTTAGTAGCCATCTTGGTCATCAGATTGTTGTGGTATCATAATTCTTGTGTTCAAGTAGCCTTTATTTTAATTAATAATGGCCCCAAAGTGCAAGAGTAGTGATGCTGGCAGTTTGGTTTTGACAAAGAGAAGCTACAAAGTGCTTTCTTTAATTGAACAGTTGAAAGTCCTATACTTAATAAGGTAAGGGAAAAAAACCTGTATGATGAAATTGCTGAGATCTATGATAAGAATGAATCTTCATTCCATGAAATTGTGAAAAAGGAAAAAGAAATTCCTAGTAGTTTTGCTCTTGCACCTCAAATTGCAAAAGTCATGGCCACAGTGCATAATAAGTGCTTAGTTAAGATGGAAAAAGACATTCAATTTGTACAATAAGCTATTTTGAGAGGTAGAACATTCACATAATTTTTGTTACAATATATTGTTATAATGGTTCTATTTTGTTATTGTTGCTAATCTCTTACTGTGCCTGATTTATAAATTAAACTTAGCATAGGTATGTACATATAGGGAAAAATAGTATATCCAGGTTTAGGTACTATCTGCAGTTTCAGTCATCCAGTCTTGACATGTATCCCCTGAGGTTAAGAGGGGACTGTGGATTCATTTTGTGAATTGGGTTATACTGCAGGCATAAAAAGGCTTCCCAGGTGGCGCTGGTTCTAAAGAACTTGCCTGCCAATGCAGGAGTTGTAATAGACACGGGTTCAATCCTTGAGTCAGGAAGATCCCCTGGAGAAGAAGATCCCATAGCAACCCACTCCAGTATTCTTGCCTGGAGAATCCCATGGACAGAGGGGCTTGGCGGGCTATAGTCCATAGGGTCGCACAGAGTTGGACACCGCTGAGGTGACTTAGTATGCATGCATGCACGCACAGGCATAAAGATCATAAGATTTGTCCAAGGGATTTAGGGGCAATTTCAGACCAGATCCAAATTCTCTTGATGATTACTCAGTCCCACTGTCTCAAGACCCTGAGACTTCACCATAGGGCTTTTCCAGAAAAGACCATGGACAGGGAACACATTTTTAAGCCTTTATAGCTATGCATTAAAATGTCAGTTCTGCCAGAAAGAAGTCCAAAGAATGAGAAATCTTATGTCTTGAATTTGGATTTACATAAGCTGATGGATCATTCTATTCTTTTTCTCTGTGATATTGAATTAATTAATACAGTTTTTCTTTCTGTTGGAATTATCACTGGGCTACTGGGTACTAATATTCTGATCTCTGCTTCTTCTGGCAGTTGTTTTTCTCTTCAACGTGGGAGACTACAGCTACCCACCACAGGGGCCGATAGAGCTCTTATTAACACTGATTTATCTGTGGCTTTTTCTTAAGCTTTTGTTTAAAAACTTGCATTTCCCTGAGTTCCACATTTAATAACCAAATCGACACTGTTTGCACATAGTGGTCTTTGGCCCAGACTGCTGTTCTTCCTCATGCGTGGTTCTCATCCTCACCACCCTGTCCCTTCCTTCTTCCTTTCACCTCAGATAAAACAAACTGTTACCTGAATGAAATCTAAAACTTGCTGGTGTCTTTGTTTGGCAGCTGCAACTTCGCTGTCTGAGATTGCTTCCCTCAGGGACTGTTGGGTATTCAGAGAATCCAGCTCCACAACAGCAGAAAGGCGGCAATACAGACTAATAAATTTCTCCCTGTAGCTGCAAAAATGAACTGGAAAATGGACAAGCAAAATAAAACATGTTAAGATCTGGTATCAAAATAGAGAAATTCATACCTCAGAGAAAACAAGTTGAATGAAAACATGATTTATTAATCCTATCATTGGAAAATATTAGGCCATAAATAAATTATAAATGTGCTCTTAAGGGGCCAGTTGTCTGGCTTTAGTCAGACAGTATTCCCTTTTAAGGTTTACCAAGTCCTGGTAGGGTATGGGGAAGTGGAGTTGGCTAAAGCTGCACTTTATGTTCAGCCCCTAAAGTTGGGCTACTACTGGGAAAATAAGTTTGCTTACCAATTTAAAGAAAAAAAAAAAGGCAAGTATCAATTTGAAACCCAGTTTTGATTGCCATGTCTGATTTCTAGTGTATATCTTGCATGTTCCTTTCCAAGGCCAGAAGTCCCAGAAGATAAGACATGTTTTTCTCAGGGTGTGTTTTCTGTTTTGTCTGGCTGGAAAACTTCCTAAGGACCTAGTATGATGAGTTTTGATTCTCCTCCTGCCTCTCCACTCCTCAACTCCTCTGGAAAGATGATGGGGTTACTGCTCTGCAGACCATTTTGGTCTTCCCCTTCTTCTCTTAAATGATAATGGGCTAAAAGCCAATGGAGACAGTCTAACCTTCATCTCTGCCATAGAGAAGGGAGAGAGGGGTGTGGGTCTCAGCCTGACCCAGGCAGCCTGAGGTGGTCAGATTTTTCATACTTCTCTGATCAGTTCTGCTCACATGCCATAACTTCAGAGTCCAGAAAGATGAGCAGGCATTCTGATTCAGACTTGTGTGGCACCAGACTCTTCCTGGCTATTGCTGAGTTTGGAGATTCACTTCCCAGGAACCTCCCTTACTCTGTGTACCTCTGACCTGCATCGGTGTGCTTCATGCTTCGGAAATAGGGCTTTAATAACTCAACAGATCTGTGGAAGCATTTTTATCCTGGCTTCTTTGGTGAGGAATTCTAGGAAGAACATCTAATTACTGCCCTCAGGCCTCTTTGCTATTGATTCCGGAGACCTAGACCTGGCCATTTTGGGAAGCTAAAACCACACTACCTCAAAACGGGGCATCTGGTCATCTCCACACCTCACTGAGGAAGCCCTACTTCTCTGCACATCGAGAGATTTTGTGTACCCTACAGTTCCCATCTTACCACTGCCTGCTTCCTTGCTTGATTTTCCCTCAGGATGAAGCTCAGGTGAGGGTAAGGGTGACCTGCTCTGTTTGGATTTCCTTGTATTGAAGCGGTAGAGAAGAATGGCCCGTCCTTAACCCAGCTGGGCACTGTTTCAAGGAGTGGTTTCTGATTTCAGGTAGTTTTGGTTCTGGGTTTTTTTTCCCCTCTCTTCTGTTAGATCCCTCCTTCTACTTCCTCTGCTCTAACACTTCCCTGTCTGGCACACGGAAGAGCTGATCTCAGTAAATGCAAATTACTGAGCTCTTCCAAAACGATCCACATTTCATGCTTTCCCTTGATTGTACACCTCTATAGAGCGCCTTCTTGACTCAAGATACAATCTAAACGTCACAGTAAAGCAAGCTGTTTGAGATCTAGGATTTCAATATACCTTCAGTCGTATCTTCTATCTCGCCTTCCACCCTCTGCCTGCATTGACCCTATGCTTTGGTCAAGCTGAGCCTACTACAGGTCGTTTTGTACTTCCATGTTTGTGATCATGCCATTTCCTTTCCTCCAGTACCCTTCTCTACCAGTGCCTTCATGTCAGCTTCTTCTGATACTTGAATATTCAGCTTCAATATCTTCTCCTCAGTGAAATCTTAACTGGTACCTCTTTCACTCCAGGCAGAATTAGTTTCTCTCTTTTGTGGTCCTAGACCACTTGTTTTTAAATATACCAGGACATCTATCCCGCTTTATTGTAATAATGTGTTTACTTGACTGATTTCTTTGAGGGCAAAAACCATATCTCCTGTTAATTTTTATTTCCTCAAAACCTGGAACACTCTTAACTTCTCAAGTCAAGTGTTCGTTGCTTAGTTGAGTCTGATGTGATCCCATGGGCTGTAGCCTGCCAGGCTCCTTTGTCCATGGGATTTTCCAGGCAAGAATACTGGAATGGGTTGCCATTCCCTTCTCCAGGGGATCTTTCTGACCCAGGGATCAAATCTGGGTCTCCTGCACTGCCGTCAGAGTCTATGATTTGAGCCTCCAGGGAAACCAACTTCTCAGTTAAGGTTTATTGCCTGAATGAACAATAAAATGTATGCCCTGATCCAAAGAGAGCAGAGCTTTATTCCAAAGTCTCCCTTTTCCCTCTATTCTCTTTCCTCAAGGTGCATTTGATTTTCCTCTTTCAAAAGGTATATTTCAAGTCTGATATTTACTGGCTGCTCTACAGGAAAGAGTCACCGTTACTTTTCAGCTTACTCTTGACCCTTGTAGCTCCCTGAATGTGTCTTTATGCCTTTCAAGGAGGAATTATATCCTGTTTGCACTTGACAGATGTCCTCTCTTGGCTGAAGAGTGAAGAGAGTGAAGTGTCTCACAGTCTGCCTTTCCAAACCAAGTTGAAAAAAAAAAAAAAATCAGCTTTTTTTCCCCTTCTTTCTGAAATATGACTGGAAGATAGTGAGAGGCACTGAAGAATTTCTTTAGAGGAAATGCTATCAGTCCCATCTGAATTCTAGAACGCCAGGGTGTCCACAGCTCCCTCTTGCTCCGTCTCTCTGTGGTCAGAGCCTTGGATCAGTGGGTGGTCTCAGCGCCCACACGGCCTGCGCCACCCGCCACAGTGCGCTCCGAGGACCTTCCAACGAACGGCAAGGACAGTGCTTCCCTTTCCCACTCCAGCGGTTTTCATCCGGAGCCTTTAATGTTCCTTTAACAAATGTGACTTTAACATAGTCTTTTGTGGTTTAGCAATGATACATTTGGTAGCCATCGCTGAGAAGGGGAGGGTAGACTGGAAGCTTCTAATTTTTTTCCTAATGTGAATCACATGCATTTTGCAGGCAAAATGGTATAAGGATACAAAAATGCATGATCCCAGACCGCATGATTTGTTAGTAATTTACAAACGAAGACTAATTTTCTGCGGTGTTTTCTCTGTCTTTTTTCTTTATAAGATAGTGACAGACTAAAGTGCCGTCAGCACCGACACTGCAAGTCAGGTTAGGGGTACTGTAGGGTGGAAAGTGTGCAGGCTTAGGTGTAAGACAGAGCTGGGTTTGAACTGTACTTCTGCCACTTACTACCTTCATAATACGCATATAACCCCAGGGAGCCTCAGGTTTTTTTGTATCTAAGACAAGGGTAATAATGTCTACCTAGGATAAAACAACATAATAATACAGTGCCTGGACAGCATGTGTCACATATCAGATGCAAAATGAATTTTTGTTCACATCCCTACCCTGTCCCCCTGGGAAGAATGGGGCGTTTAGTAGTTTGAATATTAGAACAGGATTGAGGTTAGAATATTCTTCCTAAAGATCTCTTACTCAATAGAGTCCTAATCAGTCTGGGCCATGTAGCCTAGTCTGGAAGCTAAGGAACCAATAAGATTACCCTCTTAGGGTCAGTTTAGTTCTATGGTTCTCTGCCAAGGCATCAGAAAGAACCTGGGCATAAGATGCCTCTCTAAAGATTCCTGGTAGTGAACGAGTTGACAGTTGGAATTCAGGAATGGTATCCTAAATCATGAAAAATGGGCATCAGGAATGAGGGTTGGGACTGTGCCATTTCTTATAAGCTTGTGGCCTGGATTCCATTAGGCTCAATGCCTGGATATCCCACAGGCACCTCAAACAAAAGTCATCATTTGTCAGACTGAACTAACTCATCATCTTTCCCCTCCCCCAAACCTGTCCCTCCCCTCTTATTTCCTGTTTTGGTAGATGGCAGCGTTATCCATTTCAGCACCCTATTCAGACTCCCTGTCTCCTCCATCTTTCTCTTCAACCACATTAAATCAATCACAAAGTCCTATTGATTTTAACTTCTAAATTCCTCTTGCCCCTGCCTTCTCTTCTGTTTCCCAGCTGTGGCAGTCTCCGTCCGAGTTCTTATCAGTGCCCACCTGGGCCAGTCTCTTAACTGCCTCATTGCCTCTAGGCTCAGCCCTTTCATGTTGTCCTGCAATCCACAGAGTTGTCAAAACCCAGTAATGCCATATTATTCTTTTTCTTAAAAAAATTTAATGACTCCTTATTGCTTATAGAATAAAAAGTCTTAACAGCTTTGGTGTGGCTTAGTCCTTCGTGATTTTTCCTTTTCTCAATTTTAGTTTTGTCTCCCGTCACACTTGATCAGCTGCCTTAAGCATCTGTCACAATGAGCTACTCAGAGTGTACTTAAGTGAGATGAATTTTCCTAGGTCTCCAAGCCTTTGTGCATGCTATTCCTTCTGCTTACAATGATTTTCCTTCCTGGTCTACCTTTTTTTTTTCTGAATGTTTACTTATACTTCGAAGTCTATCTTAAATCTTATCTCTGTAAGAAAGGATTAGGTGTTTTTCCTCTGAAATTCAGCAACCAACGTTTTACAGAAGAATTTTCATTGTATTGGGACTGTTGGTTTAGACGATATCCCCCACTGGGTTCTAGGCTCCTAGTGGGCAGATTGTGTCCTATTAATGTCTATGTGTCCAGTCCTAGTATAGTACTTGACATATAGTGGAAACTCAGTAACTGTTTCTTGAATGACGCATGTAGCTAAACACTGAAGTATAAAATGCATACCAGGCTTCAAACTGGTTTTAAAAATTTCCCAGTTTCTTAATCTTGCTTATCAAGTCAGTCAAAATCATAGAGTCAATGAAATCGATAAAACTCAGCTTTCCTCTTCATAGGCCTACAGTCAGTTGTGACTGCCTACGGGGTCAGGGCAGGGTGACCTCCTCCGTATAGGCAAATCCTCAAGAGGCCACATCTCAGGACAGTTTCTAAACGCTTTTCCGTTTATTTCTGGGGCAGCATGAATAGTGACCCTCGTCTTCCAGGCTCATACTTTATCACTGCAGAGGAGTGCCATCCTCTTCCTCTCCAAAGGATTGGGATCATCAGCCCTGGAGCTGTGGGGGGCAGTGGGTCTACAGTTGTACCCCTTTGCCCCAGCTCAGCCCTGCTCGTAGAGTCTCACAACATCTTCCTGTGTGACGGTCTCTCTCCCCCATCGGTAGTGTAGTAAAGCTTATATTAAACTTATTCTACTCGAAAATCTCCACTGGATTTCCAACACAGTTAAAATAAAATCCAACATCCTTATTAGGATCTATGAAGCCATGAATGGTCTTCTGATGCTGACCTTCTGATATCATTTGCTATCTTTGTTGCCCTTGCTTACCTACATTCCATCTATACTGATCTCTCAGCCAAGCACACTCTTACTGGAAGGCCTTTGCACTTGCTATTTTCATTTCATGGAAATCTCCCACCTCCGCTCAAGTCATCTTCTTCAGAGAGGCCTTCCCTGGTCTTCTCATACAGAAGTGCAGTTCCCGTCCCTTCAGTCTTGTCTTTTATCCTGATTTATCTTTGTTTCCAGCTCTCGCTGCTCTCTGACGTTTTCAATGTTAATGTTTGTTGATTGGTTTACTATTTGTCTCCTCCACTGGAATATTATTAGCTCCATGAGGAGTTTGTTCATTGATTTTTCAATACCTGGAATAGTGCCTGGCACATAGAGTTGTTTTAGTTGCTAAGTTTTAGTTGCTAAGTTGTGTCTGACTCACTCTTTTGTGACCCCATGGACTATAGCCTGCTAGTCTCTTTTGTCCATGGGATTTCCCCAGGCAAGAATACTGGAGTGGGTTGCCATTTCCTCCTCCAGGGGATCTTCCTGACCCAGGGATTGAACCCGAGTCTCCTGCATTAGCAGGAGGATTCTTTACCACTTAGCCCTTGGGAAGCATGGCACATAGTAGGTTACTTAATAAATATTTATTGATGAATTAATGAAGAAATGAGTGAAGAGAGGAAATTGTAGAATGGAGAGTAACAGTGGTAGGATAAAGTGTGATTGCCTAAGAATAGTGTGGGAGCCTCCCGGAAAGAAGGATAGGATGCTTGCAGGGCTTGGTTCTCCAGCATCTTGGGAGTCGTGTACTATTATGATTGATACTAAATCATTGATTGTTCCCACCCAGGCAACTGAAACATCGAGAAATGAGCCTTATGTATTTTTGCCTGTTATCATGGCCTTTTAATGTAGAATGGGCTCTCAGTTCGCTCTCCAATAAAGGATTTTCTTTAGTTATTTTCTCTGTCATTTATGTATCCATGGGAAATCACTCAGTTTCATGGCTTCATCTGTTACCAGTAGACTCTGGCCAAATTTCTGTGTTTAGTAACCAACTTTGTCTCCTGCATTTCTACTGCCAGTTGTGTATGTCCACTTGGATGTTGAATTAACACTTCCAGACTCAAAATGTGTGCATGCTCAGTCATGTCTGACTCTTTGGGACCCCAGGAACCATAGCCTGCCAGGCTCCTCTGTCCATTGAACTTTCCGGGCAAGAATACTGAAGCACATTTCCATTTCCTACTCCAGGGGAATCTTCCCAACCCAGAGATCAAAACTCCATCTCCTGCATTGGCAGGTGGATTCTTTACCACTGAGCTCAAGATATTCAGAGCTAAAAGCATCATATTTTTCCCCAAAGCATTTTCTTTTCTGATTTCATTATGTCTGGTAATGGTAGCAATATTCTCACAGTCTTTGAAACTAAAAACCATGGGGGTGCTTAGAAGTCTCTAAGCTTTGCCTGTTCTCATTCAAACAGCTGTCCAGTCTTGTCGATTACATCCCGTGTTTCTTACATCTATACTTGTTTCCTTTGTTTTTGTTTCTACTTTAACATCAAAATATTATTATAACCTCTGAATTATCTCCCCAGTGCTGCTTTCAATTCATGTTAAGCATATTCCTCAGCTTGATTCTTAAAATACTGCCCAATATGGCTTCAACTTGTCCATACAGGTTTATGTCTGCTATTTGCTTAGGTCCTTTCTCAAATCTAGGTAAACTGGACTACTTGTTCTTTTTCTGATTCTTTCTGAGTTCTTCTCTTATGTCTTTGCTCATTCTGCTCCCTTAACAAAACAGATTTCATTGGTTTTTTTTGTTTTTTTTTTTTTTTTATAGCACCCAGCCCATTCTTTCACACCTACAGCAAATATCTTGTCTCCCAGGAGGCCTTCTGATAACTTCTTTAAGAAAAGGTGCTTTCATTTCTTTTTTCAGTATCACTTAATACTTAAGATTTAAGCACATTATACGCATTTTAAAATTTAATTTGTATTTTTATTTAACTCCTACCACGGTACTAAAAAGCCCCTTGAGGGCAGAGCTGTTGTCTTAACTCATCTCTTAATCTCCCCAGTAGACACCTGATGTGTATGTGTGGACTTGAATTGAAATACTCTGACTCAAACTATGTTTTGTAATATCAGTGCCGTTATATCATAGACTAAAAATGTGCATTGTATGGGGAGCTCATTCAGTGGCCCGACTCACATTCAGGCATCTCGGGAGTGGTGTGACTAGTATTATCAATCATGTGGCACAGAAAAGGCACAGGAAAGTTAAATGAGTTCCAGTGCCTCACAATAGAGGACCCAGTGCCCACAAGTCTCAGTCTGCAAGTCTGATTCAGCCTTCTCTTGGTAACTGTCCCTCCTCTGGAAAATAACAGTTGCTGCTCACCAGCTTTTGAGCATGTAAACTCCTTGGAACGAGGGAAACTGGGAGACTTTATCCATTTATCCTCAAGAGATAAATTCAAATTCAGATGCCCTGGTCTCAAAATGAAACGTCAGGCAGTTGCCTTGTCTCTTTCTAAATCTGGTAGCTGGGGAGCAATCCAAAGAGAGACTGCCTTCATTTCACCCACCCATTCACTCCCACTCCCACAAATCCTACAGTCCATTTGAACTGACGGAACTCTTGTTAATTGCCTCTTATTGGCCTGTTACAAGATGAAGCATGTGGAGGAGACAAAGCCTCCCTATTCACATTTTCAGTGGGCAGCAGGGGTCTCTGTAAAAATAGAGAACCCGGGGCCCAGGCTACCCATTTTTGAAAGTCAGGATGAGATCTTCCACCACTGAGAATCCCACATTATAATCACAATATTGCATCCTGGGAGACCCTGTCAATTTCTCAAATGGTCTGTTAGAAATTTAGAGTCTATTTAATAAGTTAGCACTAACTTAAAGTTACAGACCTTTTTCTGCTTTAAATTGATACACACTTTACATTTTAATTTCAGTTTTTTTTTTTTTTTTCCCCAGTTGGAGGAAAGAGGGGGCGGGAAGAGGGGGAGAGAGGAAAAAAAGAAAGAGAAGGGGCAGTGCTTTTCATGAAAACATCAGTTCTTATATTTATGCTTTAGGAAAGCAAGGGGGAGGCAAGAACTGCAGCCTGATAACTGAACTTTCTGTTTAGAAGTCCCTCCTCTCCATTGGGCCTTAGCTAAGTTTCAGTAATTATTGCTCAGGCACATAGTCTTGGAGCTTTGCTTTCTCTCAGGCTTGTACACAGTTCTAGGAAGGGTTGTTGCCAAAGCCATCATGTGATTTATTGACCCTCCACTGGGACAAGGGGGAACAGATATAACTTTGTGATTTTATTATAAGGAGGCTGGGTTAATATTTCTAGGTGAAACAAGCTACTATACCAAGTTCAAACATCTGAAGAGGGAGGTTAAGAAACCCTGAGTGTGGGGTGTAAGGATTATTCTGTCCTGGGGCTGTGCAGACGTCGTCTGAGGCAGGGAGCAGGAGAAGAAAGGACACATTGTGACCCATTTCCAACACCTCCTGTGTGTAGAGGCGGAAGTGCCTTGCCTGCAGAGAGACACGCGCGGAGGGAAAATAGGAGAGTTACAACATGGCACTTACATAAACAACACCGAACCGGCATGAAACATCTAACAAAATTACATGGCTTTCAGCTTGGAATTTTTATACAACGTAAATATTAGGGTTCAGTCCATTTAATAATGCTATATAAAATCAAGATTTAAGGCAGTAATGTTCCACATAAACTCTGAAAACAACATTTATGCTTCTTATAAAAGCAGAAAATGATTGCGTTCTGTGGGCTTTTCAAAATGATGAATATAATTACATGAAGCAACAAAAATGGATTGAATTAAAAATCCACTAGTTTCAATTTAAGTTGGTTAAGGGGGGAAAATGTAGTTTCTGGCCAAGGACTGAGAAAATTTTACAAGTACCAAAAAAAAAAAAAAAATGTTGTATGTACTCTTAGGCAGTTGGGCAGCCTGCTCCCAATGTATGCGTAGCCCAAGAGTCACCAATGAAATATGAGCTGCTTCAGACCTGCTAAGCCCAAGAAACCCTTTAATGGTATCTACTGTCAGAAGTTGAGCTGGCATTTTTTTTCCCCCCTCCTCCTGAGTATATGGCCACCCCTGGAATAATCCAGTTAACTCCCCTAGTGTCTTTATAGCATCTTGTGCAATTTATCCTTTTTCAACATTAACTGTTTTGGACTAGCTTTGCAAAGTTGACTTGTAATCAGAGTAGTACCCTAATGGAAGAACACTCTTGGAATCTTTAATCTATGCTCTTGTCTCCTTGGGTCAGAGGCCAATTCAGGTTGTGTCTCTGTTATTTAAAGAGAGCCAGTCACTCCTGTTACAGTCTCCCTGTTTGCAGGCTAAACTTGGCTTATTTTAGTTGTGTGTATAGGAATAGTATGTGTGTGTGTTGAGTGGAGAGAGATGGCAAATGCAGATCAAAAAGAACAGAATCTAATGCTACATGATATTAGCTCACTAGACAGAGCCTAGTAAACCTTTACTCTTGTCTTCTATGCCAACAGTTTCTTTTTTTAAAAGCTGCTTATTAGTGGAGGTAAGATTTGCACATTTGGACTTAGACAAGACAGTAATTTTGACAGCAAATTTTCTGTTTGTGGAAAGATAGCGTGGAACAACCTTGGCCACTGCTCTAGATTTATACTACCAGTTATTTTCTGTTCTTAAGGAAATCAGTTGCAGATCTAACTACACACTTATTTATTTACTTCCCTTGCTTCATGCTATCCTGAAGCTAAGATCTGATGTCTTTCAGGGTGGGTTAGCCAATTTTTCCTTGTTTGACCAGACCAAAATGAAGTGGGGTCTGGGAACTCTGGAAGACGTCAGCATGGAAGAACTAGAGTAAAGGTGCAGACGTGTACTCGGGGTCCACACACAGGCATCAGACTGAAAACGTGCAGGTGTGTGCAAAGCGACATGTACATCAATGACAAAATTATACACGTGTATTGTTTCACCTCTTGAGTTTTACACCATAATGCAGTTTCCATGAGTCATAAAAAGAAGATAAAAATAATGGTAAAGACTAGTACCTGATGTAGAGGTATATTGATCTGCTTAAGGAGAGCTTTCACTGCCATCTGGAGCTCGTAGAAGAACAATTGCATGGGGCAGTCAGAAGTATGATCCACACTTTCCATAGATTCAGAGCCAGAAAGCATTTGGACCCATTCCCACTCCTCTCTGTATGTTGAGTCAAGTTAAAATTAGAAATATAACAAAAGTTCAGAACACAGCTCAGAACATTTTTAGTGTATATGTCCAGAACCTGAATAACCAATTTTTGGTGGTTAAAACTTGATGCAGTTCATGAAATTTGAGCTTTTTGCCACCCAAATAGAGCTTAAAATGAGCTCTTTTCAAGTTTATTTCACCTATCAAACCACATATACCTCAGAACAGCAGGTCTGATTTGTAATGAATCAGTTTTTGAGATTAGAGCTTTGAAATATTTTGAAATAATTTTTCTTTCCCTGAAGATCCCCTGTACGTTCTAAGATCCTACATTTTACCACAGGGGCATCTGCTGGTTAATTCAGCAGTTGGGTAACCACAGGACTCTGGTCCAACTCAGGCAAGAAACCACATGGCACATTTCAACCCTGGCCTGTTGTAATCGTGGGTACTATTTTGGTTTCTTTCCCTTTCCAAAAGCTTGAGGAGAATCACAAACAGGAACACCAGACAACTCCAATAAAAGGAACCAGGGGACACACATCACTGATTCTGTCCTCTTTTTAAATCAGTCATCTGTGTCTTTATTCTGCATGCTCCACCATCCTCGCTAATGAACTTTCCCAAATGTTCTGCAAAAAGGAAGGGAAAAGAAGGGAGGTGGGACGAAAGCACATTGGTTTTGTCCCCCCAAAGCTGCTCTTCAAAACGATCTTGAAAAGATCAAGGGAAATACGTCTTGGGCAACATTGTTTCTATAAGGTATTTTAGCACAAGTCTCTATAAACAGATTCATTTGGCCCATTTGCTCCTGACTGCAAGGAGAAGCAATATGCTCTCAGGAGCAGGCTAGGGAGGAAAGGAAAGCCCTGTTGTTTTGGGATGGAAAGAGAGGAGGTGCTAACATGTGTTCCCATCCTCGTGAAAATCTTCTGAGGGCTCTCCCTGATGGGTTATAGTCACAGGGGCTCCAAGCTATGAGCCAGAAAATGAAATTGATTGTGACATAAGCTTTGCATCAGAATATACTCTCTTTTAACCAACTCCCCTCTTAGAAAAGTTTCTGTTTTTATGATATCAGTTTCATTTCAATTCCCACACTGGAAAAGACTGTGGAAAAATATACCCTTTGTCTCAATAAGAGGAAAAAAAGAAAAAAAATTAAATCCCGCTTCAATCTGGGCATACTGTTGGATTCACAAATAACTGAAATCTTTGAGAACCTGCTTGGGAACTATATCTTTTCTTCCATCACTGATACTGAACTAACTAGCATAACTGATACTGATACTGACTAGCATAAGTATGCACAGAATCTAAAGGACCGCATTGCTGAAATTGTATCTGTAATCAAATTAGAAAATAAATTACCAGGAGGAATACCATTAAACGTGTATCACTAACTAATCAGTTTAGCCTTTAAGGATGAGGGAGATGGAACTGGCACAATGAAGACTACTGGAATCTTTTGTAGAAGTGAAACTTGGATCCTTGGCAAATGGAAATTAGTTGGTACAACCACTAAAAGATAGAATCTAAACCTTTAAGACACAAATCTAGAAAATGGATGAAAGTAACCGTTGCAGAATCAACCCACAAATGAGCCTCTTGGGAAGGCTGGAGATTACTACTGCTGATTGTAGCAGTGGCCACCAGGTGGCAGACTTAAAGTCTAGGTGTGTGTGATAAGGGAAGGAAGAGAATATGGCCCCTTGCATCAGCATCATCTCCTCCACTGTCATCAAGGAATATTTAGTATATATTGTGAGACACTATAGTTAATAAGGCCTTCACACTTTAGGGACCAGATTTTAAATGACCAAATTAGAGTCTCCTTTGGTTAAGCAAATTTGTAGGTGCAACTAGAATGATCTAAATTGTCACTGAAGCCTGACAAATTCTTTTCCAAGTTCTTTTTCTTTCCTTATCTAGTCTTTCCTTTCTGCGTTGGGCACAATTCAGTTCATTTTAGTAGACTTTCAGAGGCCTACTAGAGGGCTAGTTGTAAAGCTGGGTCAGATTACCAAGATTGGGCAACTTTTCCAAAGTTAACAGGGTAATTCACCATAATGCCAACCATAGAGCAGTTTCCAGAAACTCAGGCCTTGTTACTTCTTTTCTTCCCTAGAGAACCATATAGAGCATAGGAAACATACGAAGTCCTTAGGTCAGGGGGTTAGGAGTGGGAAGAACGAGGGAGGGTTCTTAAAGGGAGGGTCCTTTAAGATTATGGGGAAATCAGTTACTCTACTAGAACCCATTCACACAAGTGATTTTTTAAAATATGACCTTTTAGGTTATGGAGAAAAGTTTTTGGAAATAGCAGTGTTGAAAGAAAAGGGCATCTGTTCACTAACCTTGATGTCAGTGGTTGCAGAGAGGAAAGTGAAAGGGTAGTATCCTCTTTAAATGGGTGCACTGCTTATCCTAATGTTAAAACTGAGCTATGCCTTTAACGGTAAGGAACCTGCCCACAATGTGGGAGGCCTGGCTTTGGTCCCTGGGTTGGAAATATCCCCTGGAGAAGGGTGTGGCAACCCTCTCCCATCTTCTTGCCTGGAGAATTCCATGGACAGAGGAGCCTGACGGGCTATAGTCCGTGAAGTTGCAAAGAGTCAGACACGACTGAGCGATAAACACTTTTGCTTTCCTTTCCCTAATGTTAAAACCGAGCTATGCCTTTGCCTTTGCCCAAGGGTGCTGGCCCCTGAAGATGTCTCATCATAAAAACTTCACCCAGAAGTCGCATTTCAGCTTCCTTCTGGCACATCAAATCCACCCCTTCAACCATTGTTTCATCACAAGACAAATCCAAACTTTTTATAGCTTACTTGGAAATGTTATAGTTTTCACGGATCTTCACATGGCAGAGAATGTTGGGCAGCTTTTGGGTAACAAGAACTTTGATCTGGTCCACAGAGCTACACAGCTTTAGGTAACCCAGATATAATCCAGGAGAGAGACGCTGATGACTCCTTTTGTGATAGGAGAGAATATCCTGTAGGATGAAAAATAAAACAAAAAATACATTAAAAAACAATCTCTTTTCATTTCTTAGGCACACCATGTCGTGAATTAAAGGAGCTGTAGCTAAGTGATTAGTTAGAAACCTTGGATATCACCATCATGACTGTTGAGAATGTATTGGTGGTACAGCTGTCTTAACCTTCAGGAGAATTAGCCTCCAAGTCAGGTAGGCAGTCAGTAATGTTTTCTGCATGCTTATTTTCCTCAGATTTCTGCTCCACAAGTAGATGTGTGAGTTGTGACTTGGAATGGGCTGCTGGTGGTAGGAGAAAATACTAAAGAAAAATAGAATTCATAATTTCTATCCTTGGAGGGTTTATTGTTTAGCTGGGGCATAACTGAAAGTATAAAAACTGTTAAAGCAGTATAGAAAAGCTTCATTATTTCAGGATAATTGGTGTCAGGAAAAGGATCAAAATTTTATAGTAAGTAGGGAAAAAAGAATTTGATTGACTGTCTTGAAAAAAGAAACAAGTAATAGCAATATATCTTATTAACATTTGAGTTATAATTGTTCACTACTAAATTGTATGATAGCTGGAATGCTGTTTCTAATATTTGACTTTCACAATGTGATCATGAACAGGATAATTTTTGCAAGAGGATTTGAAGGCTCCATATATTGTTTCCTCTGGCCTTCAAGTCAATCTCTTACGTGATCCTTGCTCCTTATGTGTTCTTCAGTTGTTAACTGGCCTACCTCTGCTAGACTCTCAGTTGTCAGTAGCTATGCATGCCATTTGATTAGGTCTCCATGTCTTCATCAGCTTCACAAACTTTTGTTACTTTTACAAGATTTTAAAGTTTACCTTGTAATAGATTTGCACTGAATTTGCCTTGTGTTGGCCCCCTCACACTATTCCATAGGCAGCAGAGACTGAATGAAGCTGGGACAATGAGAAGTGCCAACTTACTAAGGTTGTGACTTTTGCTTCTCCACATGACTGCAGGAACCCAGATAATAAATATTTGGTGATATAGATACTCCCTTTCCCCTATCAGTAGGTAAGACTTTGTGTACATTTGGGCAGTGTGGTGGTGAAATAAAGTAGGCATGATGACTCAGGAAACTGATTCTAAGAGAAGGATTCCTATATGCCAGAGTTTAGCCTGTTTTCAAAGGGGGTAAAAAGGAGGGAATCAATGCTACCTCTAGGAAGGCAAAAAAGAAGAGGAAAAAAAAGTATTTAGAATGGGATAGAATTCAGTATGGAACAGAAATGTATGAAGGAGTGACGCCTCCTCTATAGAATGAACCATTTGTAACATCTAACATGGGCTTCCCTCCTGTCTACAATGCAGGAGACTTGGGTTCAATCCCTATGTTGGGAAGATTCCCTGGAGAAGGGAATGGCTAACTACTCCCATCATTCTTGCAGTGCGAATAACATATGTTATTTTGTATTGTCTTCTTTGTCCCATCCTTATTAAACATACTGAGTTTCAGGTACTATAGGAGACATTGGGGTTTCAGGTGAACCTGATATAATCCCTACTTTTAAACAGGTTAGGAAAAACAGGTGAGTAAAGGAGTGATTACAGTATACTGAAACCAGTTTATAAAAGAGGCAATGTAGGCATACAGAGGAAGGAGTATTTAACTTATATTTTTCTTCTTTTATGTTGTTTGGTTGAACTAGACTATGAAATTAATGGCAGGACTTTTTTTTTTTAATTGCTGTTTCTTTAGTACCCAGTACTATTTCTGCATATAACAGGTATGCCACATGTGGCAATCAGGCCTTATCCTTAAAACAGAATGTATGAGAAAAGCAGAAGAGGGACAAAGTAAGAATGATCACAATTGGGAGGAGGACGTAACTAGCATTATAGAAAAGCAAATAAGTAACTTTTATGATATATGGCAAAAAATAGACTTGAAAAATTTAACTTCATGGTTAAGAAGGAAGGAACTCTTATATCAGGTGATTGATAAGGCTGAATTTTTTCATCTTGTCTCTTCAGAGCAGATCGCAGGTAGTTAACTAGAGGAAGTTCAGTCAAGGTGAAATTTTGAGGGATGAACAGGTAATCAAAGAGAAAGAAGCAGTTAATGAGAGAAGGAAAAGTGGAAGTATTCACATCAGCAGAATTTGATGACATGCACCCTAGGGGTACTTGGTGTAGAAGCAGATGTGGCCACAAACCCACAGATCATTATTTTTGAGAAGCAATGGAGAACTGGAAAAGTCCCTAAAGACTGGAAACGGGCAAATATGCCTATCTTTGAAATAGGAAGGGGAGAAACACAGAATGACCCTAGTAATTAAAGACCACCAACTTATTGATCTTTGGAAAAAATGAGATTGAACTATCAAGCAATCAATTTGCAGTCGCTGGGAGACCCTGAGACACTACATAGGAGTCAACATGGTTTTGTGATGGGCAAATCATATGGACAACTCTAATTCCTAATAGCAAAAGAACAGGATCCACAGACCAGGGAGATGTCTTCAGTATAATCTGTAAGCTGAATATCAGGGTTGAAGATTCGTGGATGATGGGGATAGTATGGTGATAGTAGGACACACTGAGTGATGGCACAGTGGAGACTGGTCTTGAGAGCCAGTCTGTCCAGCATATTTATTGATGTTCCAGACAAATAAAGAATGTGTGTATCAAATTTGTGGGTCCCAAATTTGGTGTGGTTTTGATTTTCTGGAAAATAGTAATAAAGCTCTGAATGACCCTATGCATTGGAAAAATAAGCCTATCATAATTAGGGTTGAAACTTAATAAGAAAATGTGCTTGTAAAGACCCAAACCCAAGAGTAAAAATATAGGATGGGTATGAGTATAAGAAAAAACATGTGGGGGTCAGAACTGACCACAAATAGAGTGTGAGTTAGGAACATACTGTGGTTACGTAAAAAACAATGTCACTCTGGGATGGAGTAATTCACTCTTTGATTCAATTTTGTAATGACTATTACTGAGCATCTACTATATGTTTTCCTGCCTTTACATAGTCATTTGTCCTGCATTAGTCAGAATGTTTTTGGAGCCTGTGAAATGCATGGGAAGAGAAAGGGCTGTCCTGTTTACATGATCTGAGGTACATTAGAAAGGCCTCCCGAGTGAGTGAGTGCAAGTCGCTCAGTCGTGTCTGACTCTTTGCAACCTCATGGACTATGCAGTCCATGGAATTCTCCAGGCCGGAATAGTGGAGTGGGTAACCATTCCCTTCTCTGGGGCATCTTCTGAACCCAGGGATCGAGCCCAGGTCTCCCACATTGCAGGCGGATTCTTTACCAGCTGAGCCACCAGGGGAGCCAGAAAGGCCTCCTAAGCCAAATCAAGTGCCTGTGGTGGCTGGATGGCATCACCGATACAATGGACATAGGTTTGGAAGGACTCCGGGATTTGGTGATGGACAGGGAGGCCTGGCGTGCTGTGGTTCATGGGGTTGCAAAGAGTTGGACACGACTGAGTGACCGAACTGAACTGAACTTATATATTGCCTGATTTGACCTCTAATCTGCATTTCTAATCTCTGCTTCCACTACAGTCCTCTTATGTCTCTTACCTCCAGCCAAAATGGATTGCTTTTCCCTTCCTCGTATATAGCCTGATCTCTCTTCTTCGATTCTTTATTGGTTCATGAATTCACTCATTCTGCCAACTTTTATTGAGTACCTTGAGGAGGAAAAGGCAACATACTCCAGTATTCTTGCCTGGAAAACCCCATGGACAGAGGAGCCTAGTGGGCTACAGTCCAAGGGGTGGCAAAGAGTCGAATGTGACTGAGCACACACACTGCTACTACTGTGTATCAGGTATTATGCTAGGATGTTAATGACATCAAGATCAATAGGACATGATCCTTCCTTTCATGGAACTCATATTTCAGTTTGTGAGAGTGACATGTAAATTTTTCTTAGCCTACTGTGATGAAGGTTGTGTAATGTCCGTTGTGGATGCAAGGGAGGGTGGGATCTACATTTCCAGATTTCACCCTCTTTTCTTTTTTAACCATGCCCTCTATGAAATTACCTCTTTAATTTCTCTATTTAATTCCTTCCTCCCTCCCTCCTTTTCTGTCTTCCTTCCTTTCTTCTTCCCTCCCTGTCTTCTGTTTTTTTCTGACTGCCCCCCCCCCNCCCCCGCCCCACCGTCTTTCTCTTTTTCTCTTTGCCTTGTGAACCTAACTTCACGGCTCAGCCAAACATCACCTCTTCTGCAAAGCCTTCCCTGATATTTCCAGGTAGAATTAATAGGTACTTTGTCTGTGTTTTCATAGTACACTGCTTGTGCTGCTATCAGGCTTTGGCTTAATTCTGCCTTGTATTACCTTGATTTGTTTACATGTCTGTCTCCCTCCCTTGACTGAACTCCTTGAAAGCACGGACCCTGACTTAATCATTTGTTTTTTCTATAGCACCTAGAAGAGTTCCTGGCACATAGTTGGTGCTGAAAAAATGTTTATTAAATATGAAGTGAGAGGTCCAGATGCAGTGGGGGTCTGAGGCTGGACCCTGGGGAGAGAATATATGTTGTGCTGGTTCAGAGGAAGGGGATACTCATCTTCTCTTCATTGATCAGATATCCTGAGAGCTTGTTAGAGGAGCAACATTAGTTGCTTTTCCATTAACTTTTGTTTTGTTGGATAAGGCATGGAAGCTGAATTGTCCGGGGTTAGAGATCACAAAATGGTGGCCAGTGGCCCAAGATTATACAGGCTTCCAAGAATGTAAAGCTTCTGAATTATTTTATAACTTTTAGAAAACAAAGTGATTTTATCCAAAGTTCTGGACTTTTGACTTCTCTTTAAAAATTGAAAAATATTTCAACATTGGGACCACTTTCTTCCACTGCAGTTAGCTGTGGCTGAATAGGGCTGTTCTTCAGACGAGACAAGGCTCTCCAGATTACTGTAGTCTTTATTACTTCCACTTTTTTATATTGAGATATAACTCATATACCATAAAATTCACCCTTTTAAAGTATGAAATTCAGCGGTTTTTACTAAAG